GACAGCAAACAGAATGCCTAAACTAGTAATAACCAGAAAATTAATCGGCCCCAAAAGAAGAGGTAGACACAGAACGAGGTGGATTAGTAAAGCGGAGGAAGACCTTAAACACGTGAAGGTGAGGAACTGGAAAATAAAAGCACAAAATAGAAGCGAATGGAGAAATATTGTTCACCAGGTCCTTCAAAGTAGTTAAGAATGTTGTATATATACATATTTAAGTTAAAGTATTGTTTAAAATAATTGTAATTAGTTAATATTAGGATATGTTGTAAAATAATGCCCTAGCCCTTAACGGCCTGTTGTGCGTAAAAATAAATAATAAGGCCCTTTAAGTATATGTTTGTATTCTCATTAAATTATTATTTTTTTAGATCTTGTTTATTATGTAAATATGTTCTGATTTCACAATGTGTACTGTGCAGTACAGTTTTAAATATATTTCGCCATGTTAAGATAGCATGAAAATCTTTTTATTTACATATTATTATCTCTAATCCAGACTAGAATGTATATATATTTAGAACAAACAAAAAATATATTTTAATTTCAAACCGAAAGCGTATTCATAAGTTTACGTCTGATGCAGGTCTGAAAATCAATTTTTGTTTTGTTTAATATACCAGGTTTGATAAAAAAGGTTAATTTCAAATTTCGATTTGAGATTTTGGCATTATGTTCGTACAGATATGGGGATAAGTTGACATTTTCTATTATTGTATATTTTTAGTTTTTTTGTCAGATATAATAGCCCAGAGAAATAAGCTTATTTTCGTGACACTCGTCCGGTCAGGTAAACGACAGCTATTTGGAGTAGTATGAACCTCTATGACAAGAAACCTATATGTTTCCTGCAGTCGATTTTTGGACTTAATTATTAACAAATTAATGTCAAAAAATGATAAATTTTCGCTTTTTTCGTTTCTCGGCAAAAAGTAAAGCGTTTGAAACAAATTTGAGAACAGAAGAAACTTCAAACCTTCAAAATGGCGTTTTCTCAACGTTCCTATCCTTATTTATTGCTTAGAAAGTTGCAAATTAAGTCAAAAATTTCTGTTTTTAACAAAATAAATAAAGTTTTTAAAATAAACTTATAACCTTTATATTACACACAATGTTGGGTCTTGTGGTGCTTAAAATGAGATCAAAATTTTTAAGTCGATAGATCAAAGAGTTTCAAAGTTATTTAATTTGTTTATCCCAAATTAATATTTTTTGAAACAACATAAGTCAGAAAATTAAATAGGAATATTAAATATACGGATAGATTCTAAAAAAAATATTCATTCTATTAATATAATTATAAAAAAATGAGGAAAAATAATTTTAAATATTGCAAAATAATTTGGCAAAAACATGTTAATTTTTTGCTTATAAACAATTAGAATAACTTTTTAACCATTGACTGCAAAAAATTGATTTTTTCTTATTTTGATATCTGAATTTTTTTACAAAGAAAAAAAAGTTGACTTGGGACACTTTGGGACGAAGATAGTGCCTTTTTGTATAAATTGATAAAACCTTTTGTTTATAATAATTAAGAGACGTTATTAGGGTTATCTAAACGTATTTTAAGGTTTTAATGTGAAAAATTCGAAAAAGATTGCATTTTAACGGAATCGTTCACAAAGCATCAATTGTTGTCCTCAAAATTGGTCGGCTTTTAAACTAGTGAGAGCACAGGAGGGGGGGGGGAGTAGTTGTTATACTGTATTTTTATGTATGAGAGAGTAATAAAACAATAAATTATGTATGAATTAACATGGCAATTTTGATCTTGTTTGCGGCGCTTCTGAATAGTTCGACCGATGTGAGCCCGAACCACTTCCGCAGATTTTGGAGCCACGAGTGTCTTCTCCTGCCTGGCCCTCGCTTACTGTCTATTTTTCCTGGACAATCAATTGTAGCAGACGGTACTTATCGTGTCTCAATATGTGGCCTAGATATTCAAGCTTTCTTTGTTTAATTGTATTCACGATTTCTTTCTCCTTTCCGATTATTTGGAGTACCTCTTTGTTGGTGACATGTTCGGTCCAGGATATACGAAGAATGCGTCGGTACACCCACATTTCGAATGCTTCTAGTTTTCTCGTTAGCGTCTCCGTCAGCGTCCAGGCCTCCACGCCATACAGCAAGATCGGAAAAATGTAGCATTTAACTATACGTAGTTTTAGAGGAAGAGACAAATCCTTGCTTATGAGGAGCTTTTTCATATTGCTAAATGCTGCTCTAGCTCGTTCTATTCTCGCCTTAATTTCTATGGTCTGTTCCCATTTTGCATTTACGTTGGTGCCAAGGTACACATAAGATTCTACATGGTCAATTAGTATGTTACTTGTCCGTAATTGTCGAGCAGGTTGTTGCTTTTTGCTTATCAGCATCAACTTTGTCTTCTTGAAGTTGAGGCTCAGGCCGTATTCCTCACTAACTGAATAAAGTTTTTCCATTACTTGTTGTAATTCGTCTATGGTACTGGCAAGGATCACCGTGTCGTCGGCATATCTTATATTGTTCGTTAACTCGCCGTTTATTTTTATGCCCTCATTTGCATTTTCCATACATTTGTTAAATATTTCCTCGGAATACATATTGAATAGGAGTCTGGATAATATACACCCCTGGCGGACACCTATCGCTTTTTGCTATTTGCTTAATTATATTTAATTCTGTCTCAAAGTTGTATTTTGACATCGGAATTTCTGTTAATCTATGTAACATACTATGATAAGCTGAAAGTTTATGTTGTGTTGGATGGGATGATGGATTCTGTATAGTCGTGTCAGGATGGGTAGGTTTATGAAATATGGAGAAGTCATGTTTGTTTTGAAGTCTGCTAATTTTTAAATCTAAAAAATGTATGGCATGATCGTGAGAAATCGTATTTTTGTCGGATGCGCGCGGAGGACGAAATAAGACCGTTTCAATGGTAAAATTTGTAATGTGGCTAGCACACAAGTTTAACGTCAATATTCGACATATATTTCCGGTTCGTGGCCATTCCTTTAACCAATGCGATCGCAATTTTGGGCTGGTAAAGTCATCTTTAAAAAAGAAGGAATACATATGACGGCAAAGCCATATTTGGAAGCACATTATCGGAAAAATCCATCTCCTTTTAATGTTGTCATGGACAAAACGCTAATCAAAAAATGGACTGAAAGTTTGGAAGGACTCCTTCTACATAAGCCAAAAACAAAGGGACTTGTTTTCAGCATTCAACAGTATGTACAAATGAAATACAAAAAAGACGGAACATTGGCTTGTTCTCAAACATACATGGAAAATTACATACCATTCACAATTTGGAGAGGAAGAAACATAAATACAAACATTGCTTTTTAAACTGTCCCAGTGGTTGGAATAAGCCGGCGAAGAAAAAAGAAGTTAGAGATCTATTTTCGTTTTTGTCCCAAGAAGATGAACAATGGATATTCTGAATACTAAAAGAAGTTTCTGTATAACTTTCTTTGTATAACAATAACTTGGTTTAATGTTTATTTTTTTACGTCATTTGCCAAATAAAGATTTTCTTAAACTTATTTCATACTTTCGCAAATGATCTGTGGAAAAAGGGCCCATGACAAGCTAATGTAAAAAAATTATATTTACATAAAAATGTGTCTATACTTTTAAAACATCTAATTGTAACTTTAGTTTAAATACAATACTTTTATTTTAGCTTTCAATACTTAAAGGTCTAATCTTTGTTTTAAAAATGCTTGGTTAAATTTTCAGTTGGGTTTTTCTCGAAAGCGCCATTTGGCATATGGGCCCTTTTTCCGGTGATGGACTCATTTTTATTTAATATTATCTCAGCTGCATTTTTTATTAGAAACAATTTTTTCTACGACATATAAATTTGTGGTAAATTTTTTGTGTTTTTACCCCCCTTCGAGGGGAATTTTAGGGGGTAGCTCGGGGGTAATCTTTTTTGGTGTCTAAAATAAATATTCTCTGCAAAATTCAGCTTGTTCGTATGATTTTTAGGGGTCAACTCCTAACAACTGGACTAAGTTTGACGTTATTGTTGGCAACATTAACAGCTACTGTATTGCGGGAATATAATTGCAGTAAAAATAACGCTTGTTTAGAAGCACCTTTAGAACAACAGCAAAATTGTTTAGCCTTTTTGATTTCCAGAAGTGATTCGCAGACATGATCATCTTAAATTTGCGGCAATATGTACATTTTGTTTAAAAAATAAATACATTTATTTTTGTTTGTTCTATTCATATTCCCAATTTTATTCCTTAATTAATTTTGATAATATAGATGTCGATTTTATTGATATTTTAATATTCGAAATTTCGTGATGGAATGTCAATGATGTACTGTAACATTGTGACACACCCCGTATATTTTATTTAAGAATAAACAAAATCGAAAAAAAATTGTTTTACTTTTAATGACCAAGCAAGATATGTATGTCATCCTGCTTTTGTTCGCGGATAAGAAATTGATTAACATGATCTTTTAATTTGATTGACTGTACCACCAACTAACTATCTGAATATATCGAATGCCCTAACACACAGAATACAATACAAAGCCTCGGCTCGTCCACTTTTTGCGTGTAATTATAAAAGTACAGTCTGTCACAAAGACCGAGCATCTCGCAGTTGTCATAGCGACGCGCTGCGATCAGAGTACAGTTGCGGCATGATTTCGCGAAACAAACCCGTGCCGTGGTGTGGTGGTGAGGCGGTGGGTGACAAGACAGGTACAGTCGGAGGGCATATCGATCGACTAATCAAGAATATTTCGCCCCTCTACTCATTTACAATGCGTGAAAAGGCAAAGAGAAGAGGAAATAATTGATACTCCCAAATCCGACCAACGACTGTCGCGTTATTGTTAAAATTTGTAACACTTCCTGACTTCATATCACCGTTCAGCCTTCGCTAATATTCCTTCTTATAAACAACATACAATAAAAAAACAATTAAATTAATACAGCCATTAACTAACCTAATTTAACGAAGGAAAACAAAGTTACTTACATTGGTGTTTGTCTGCTAACTGGATCAGCTGGCTAGGCAAATCTCTTCGTCTATAAAAACACATCACTTTGGCTTCTACATTTCCCGTAGCCGTTTTATTTAATTCCTCTATACGCCGGATCTGATAAGGGGATGTCGAAGACGCCTCGAAATATACATAATCTGAAAAAAAATTAAGCTCTTCTAATTCCAGCTACAAACAGTGATAACTATTCATCGCGACCTTACTATTTCCTCGTTATTTTTGTTTTAAGGTCATAGGTAGATTATTAGAACTATATACTATAATTTTTATTAGATAATGAAATTGAAGTAAAACTTAATGACGGGCTCATAGTTCATTGTTCCCGCATATTTTTACCTCAAGTAAAAATAGATCTGCATTAGGAAAAAATTCAAAATTATCGTTACAGTTTCTGACACCGTCATAATAAACCTATAGGCGTCAAATATTAATATTCCAACATTTCCAACCCAAACTAGCCAATAATTTAATTGCAAGTATAACCTTCATGTTAATAGCTTATCAATAAGCTAATTCTTTATCAAATACTTAATCGCACCTAAGCTGACCATCCAACGACACGAATTTTGAGTAACATTTGAAATATACAGCTAAAATTGATTGACATGTGAATTTTTTTTAAACACCCCAATCAAGAGTACATAGACAAGCAGAACGTAATCATAGCGCAGATGAATATAGTATTCCTTGTGTCTGTATGAAGCCGGTTTAATTAAAAACAAACAGGTACTAACCTCCAACACGATACATATTCGCCGCCATTTTCACAACACTAACACTGTAATCCTTAATTAAAAAACCCCATTAGACGTACATATTTGAAAAATGTTGATATTTTTCCAATGTTTATATCACTGCACGTAATACCACCACCAAGCTCACGGACGCCATTTTCTCATATCAAACATCAAAACTGTCTGTCCGCGTCTAGAAAAGAGTGAAGTTGTCTAACAAAATTGACAACAGCGCCAAAAGAATACGCAGCGGAGAGTAGCCAAACATTTTTATAATTTTATTTTAAATTAAAAGCTAATATAATTTTTATTCAAAATCCATACTTTCTTAGGTATGCACAGAGTACAAAAATAAACAAAACCACAATTTTTTTTTATTTTTTAACTTTTTTCTTACTATTTTTTATATAAATACATATAAAAAGCATGATTTTTGTTTTTTTATTCCATTACAATTTATCAAGTAACATTATTTATGTTTTTATTATACTACCACCATACCTTGTATCCCAAGCATTGTATTTTTATTTACTAATTTGTAGTAAAAAAAATATACTGCTTTACGGATACTCTCTATGCTAGTGACAAGGAATTCCGAAAACCTCATTTCGTTAGGAAAGAATTTTATTTAAAAATCAATAGATGGCTATTGACCTTACACCATAAATAAAGACATACGTGTGGCTTCTAATCTGTCGTTATGTATGTCTAATCTATAAGACAGATATCGTCTGACAATTAATTTGGTATTTGGACAATAGGTGGCGCTGTCAAAAAAGTTATATGTTTTATATTAAATTTTTTTAGTGTGAATATATATTATTTGGATAATAGCTTATTGTTTATTTTTACTTAAAATCATAATGCTTATTTATATATTTACTAATAAAAAAAATTCAAATTTTAGAAAAACATAACTAAAATACACTCCCCACACTAACACAAAATAGAGATGAGCGATGCCGTGGTTTTAAATCGGAATGATATTCATTATTGTCATTTGCCAATATACACAAAAACATACTCCTGTTTCAAGTATAAATATTTAATTTTTTAATTTGATTTTGTTAAATTGTATGCAGTTGTTTTTAGTTTTTTTTTAATTCATAGATATAATAGTAGCATCTAGTAGAATATAGATAGACGAACATTGGGCTATATCGTAGGTAATGTAGTAGCTGTAGCCATTTTCTTCACTATTTCTTTTATTATTTGTGTTTGTGTTAGTTCTTGTTCAACAGTAATTCTCAATCTGTTTTCCAGTATTAATTCATACAATTTGGTCATGGTACTAGGTAGATTAACACCCACGTGATTGCTACAGTCTTTGAAATCTCATTTATTGTAAATGGGCATTACTAGACCTAATTGGCAATCTCTTGGTACCCTTCTTCTTCCATTTCTACTTTGTCATTGGGGATCATCCATTCCGTATTTTTATTTGCTATTGAATCTTCGTTTTTCTCGCTTCTTAAATTGTTGTATGATAATAATTTGTTATTGGCTTTGCTGTTTTGCTTTAATTTTACAACAAATTCTTTTCCAGAGGTTTTCTTAGCTTTTTTCACTGCTTTTTCGTAAACTCAACTTTGGATTTTGCTCATAAATGTAGAGCTAAGGCAGTAGCCTCATCATTCTCTTCATTTTACATATTTTTTAAATTTGTTGTCTTCAACAGATGCTCTATCTTGTCCTATTAAATTTCTTTAATTATTTTTTAAAATTAATTCTGCTTAACGGCCTGCATATCATCATGCAACCTCTTCTGTCCACTGCTGGACATAAGTCTCTTCCATTTTTCGCCACGCTTCCATTCATCTAGCGTATTGCTGGTTGTCCTGTGCTGCGTTTGTCTTCTCTTGGGCGCCAGTCAATTAGTTTTCTGGTCCATCCTGAGTCTTTTAGTCTCGCTATGTGATCTGCACAATTCCATTTCCTTGTCTACATGTTCGACAACATCAGTGATACCTGTTTTTTTTCCTTAGGTCTTGGTACCTTATTTTGTTTTTTTTTCTGTCAAGCCGAGAATTGATCTTTCCATGCGCCTTTGTGTCACTAACATTTTTAGTGCTGTTGTTTTTGTGAGAATGAGAGTTTCTGCTCCGTATGTCCCAATAGGAAGAACGCATTGGTCAAATGTCTTCCGTTTCATAGCTAATTCACAGGTCTGATTATCTTTGCTTATTTTGATTTCATGACCGAGATATGTGTAGGTACTTTTCTGTCAATTCTACCACTAGATTTTGGATAGTTAGGTGTTCGCTAGGAACCAAATTTGTCATAAATTTGGTCTTACTGATGTTCACTTTTAGACCTATTGTTGAAGATACGTTTTCTAATTCTTGTAGCATTTGTTGTGATTCACGCAGATCTTCGGTAATAAGTACTATATCGTCGGAAAACACAGAATCTGTGTTTATCTTTGTCACAGATGATTGAGCATTTCCCCGTCCATTTTTATTCCTCTATTTTCCCACTTAATCATTGGGATGAGAGAGTGTCGCCATATCTCGCTTTATATGAATTTCTCTGGTGGTATCATATAGTTTTTGAGACAAAAACAAGCATATAGAGAAAATCTGCAGAGAAATTCAACTACACGCCGACACAAATAACACCAAAGAACTCTTTGATAAAGTCAGACAACTCACACGTAAATTCAAGCAGAAATCTTGGTCTATCAAAGATGATGAAGGTAATGTACAGACGGATTTGGACAAGGTTATTGATGTTTGGAGGGCGTATTGTAAGTCTTTATACGCCAATACGGACCAGATGCCAGCGGACGCCCCGTTTGTACCTGACTGCCAGACCTCCACTTTCCATTCTCCTTCAACAGAGACACACCACACTAGTTTTGAGTCTGAACCTGACATACTTTTTTCCGAGGTGGAATTCGCTTTAAAAAGACTTAAGTTAAACAAAGCAGCAGGATATGATCTCATTACTGCAGACGTCTTGAAGCATCTTCCGGAATGTGGAGTGAAAATATTACATCGATTGTGCAATGAAATATGGCACACAGGCGTCTGGCCTGAGGATTGGAGAAAGACCATAATCATACCTCTTCATAAGAAAGGTTCAACAAATAATTGTAACAACTACAGGCTATTAGCTCTAATATCACACGCCAGTAAGGTGATCCTCTACATACTGCAACGGCGTCTAGAAAACTTCATAAGTTGGCAAATAGCACCTGAGCAGGCTGGATTTGTAAAGGGCAGAGGTACTAGAGAACAAATCCTTAATGTACGAAACATCATAGAAAAAGCCAGAGAATACCAGATCCCGATATTTATATGTTTCGTCGATTATACAAAGGCCTTTGATAATGTTAGATGGGACAAACTATGGAACATATTGACGACAATGGGTGTACCTAAACACTTGACTCACCTTAGCAAACTGTATCAAGATAACCTGGCATATATTCGAATGGACGGATATCTGTCTGACAAATGCACTTTGGAGAAGGGAGTACGCCAAGGATGCGTTTTATCTCCCTTATTATTTAACATCTATTCGGAGTTCATAATGCGCAGAGTTTTGGATGGTTGGGAGGGAGGAGTAAACCTAGGTGGTGTTAAGATATCTAACTTGCGTTTCGCAGACGACACTACACTTCTAGCTTCTACTCCAGAAGAAATTACTAAATTATTAAAAAAACTCGAGGTAGAAAGTGCTAAATTTGGACTCATGGTTAACTACAACAAAACCAAAATCATGGTTATTGATCGCCAACAACAGTTTCCTGAAACCCAAACTATTGCGGGATGCGAGGTAGTCTCATCTATGATATATCTTGGAGCTCTAGTAAACAACACAGGCAGTTGTGAATCCGAAATTAGAAGACGCATTCAACTAGCAAGAGCAGCAATGAGTGAACTAAACGGGGTCTGGCGTGATCGTCACATTACTGTGACAAACAAAAAGAGACTCGTTTCAACTCTGGTCTTTTCCATATTTTACTATGCATGCGAGACCTGGACAGTCAAAGAATCAGATCGACGACGTATAGACGCCTTTGAAATGTGGACATGGAGACGCCTGCTTCGAATTCCATGGACGGCTCGCCGTACAAATATCTCGGTTCTGGATGAAATTAAACCGGATCAGCGTCTCTCAGTACCGTTTACTCTAGGATTTTAAAGTTCTTTGGCCATATCCATCGAAGTGATCACAAAATGGAGCGGTTGGTGGTCCAAGGAAGTCCTCAGACTCAACGCCAACGCGGAAGATCTCCACAGCGATGGGCGGACATTACTAGAAAGCTTCTCAATAAACAGTATACTGAGGCAATACATATAACTGATGACCGCGACCAGTGGAGAAATATTATCAATCAAACTCTCCGAGCTGCTGAAGCCCAATTATGAACCACAACACATCTACTAAGATGTTAATGACTGTGATGATGATCATATAGTTTTACAAGCATTGTGGCGTTTTGGTACAATGTTTGTACTAACTTTGTAAGCCGGTAGTCTATTCTACTATTAAATTGATATAAGGTTGAATGCTCGAATAAATAAACTTTGAAAAATTAAAGGCAGATATCGAGCACCATTTTAGTAATCAAATCTTGTTCAAGAACTTTCGCTTTATACAGCATCATCAGGGGCATTTCCCTTTTCAGGGGCACTGGAAGTGGAGTCTTTTAATATCAAAGAGATGCAGGGACTGCTTTGCGACAGTTTTCTCTGTCGCACTGAGGGAACGCCACTGTATTGCAGCGGTCAGTCTATCTTGTACTATAATATGTCTATTACTAACCTAACCTAACATGTTTGTTTACAAAATGTCTGTTCAAAAAAATGGGTGACACTTTGTTTTTGAATGAAAAGTCCTTCCGCGAAAATTCACAGATTGCAACTTATCGCGCATCTCTAATAAAACACGTTATGGCTAACTTTACTCATAGAGGAATTTTATGTTATTAAAAATTGCTCTATTTATTATGTACTCGAATTTTATTAATACTTTATGTACCGATTACGCTAAAAATTATGCGCATTATATAATTAAAAAAAAATAGATATTATGTTTAAAGATATTTGTTGTAAGCCTACAAAATTTAAAATGAGTCTTGCTTATTTGAATGGATTGATTTGCATGGAAGCTGTTTTTATGTTTTATTTAATATCATACTTTTAATAATGTTTGAATGCACCATGTTTTGCATAAACATTTTAAATAAATATATTGTTCGCAGTAGGTAGTTTGTCTTGTTATTTATTTTTTGTTGAAACACCAAATAACAAATACGGAATGTTTGTTTATATATTTATAAAACACTTAATCGCTTTTTAAATGGGTTGGGTAATCATAAAAATGAAGAAACTTTAAGGAGGTAATAAAAAGAACGACTAACGGAACAGTTGCCATGATAAGTACACTGTCACGTGTCAATTTACACTACACCGCCAGCTGTCAGTTTCAGTTTTAATATGACAAGACTTCGATGTTTCACGACCATTTCCTAATGGTCTAATGAATTAGAAAAAACCGTGTTTGTAGTGAAAAGTTCTTATTCTTATGATATATTTTGCATTTATTTACGTCCAATGAGGTCAATAAAGTAACTATAAAGAAATTCCTGTCGTAAGTACACTCATATTTCCTTCAATTAAATTAGCATCCCATTTATTTGTAACTATATTCCCAGAATTGCGCCGTAAACGGTATATTAATAATTTATTGCCGGTGATGATAAAGAACAAATCTATTTAATTCGGCGATGTTTCCTTTAATCTGTTGAGTGTTATTATCTAGGAGTGGTCTTGTACTTGCGATTTGTTAAACGAGGTGAGGCGGTATATTTGTAGACCAGTCGGACGACATTTTACATAAACTAATTTTGTCAGGTACTTTGTTTTTTTATCTATATCTATGTACTTAAATTATAATATTTTGTAGAAATGTTAACTAATCGTGCGCAAGAAATACCTACGAATTCGTCTGTATAATTTGACCCATTTTGGAAAGTAGTTTGTATGTTTAAGAAAATCTCATTTACATAGTTTTGTTGTTATTAATATGTAGGAAAAAGTTAAATGCAGGTAAAAATTAATGTGTCAGTATATTTTGTGCGTTGCTTGAATCTATCAAATAAGTTAAGTCATAAATATTCTTAAAAATATTAATAATTAATGTCTGTCATAATTGAGTATTATTTTTCTTTACAGTTGTATAACTGGCCTATTGAAAAGAGAGGGAATTTACAATATATTCTTTATCAATTGTAGTATAACATTACAGTGTAGTTGGGTGTTTGGTTTATGTTAAACCTGACAAGTTTATTTTGTTTACTTTTCTCACTGAAACCAGAATGTTAGTGTAGTGTGTAGAATTTTAGTATATTTTTCTAATTCTAAAACAGTTTTATCTGAGGAGTTTAATTATCACTCTAAATAGTTTTTGAACAGCTGAAATACTACTTATTCAAGATTTCAGTTAATGTATTTTACAGTTTGTAGGTAAGGAAATAGTTTTAAATTGTGTTTTATTTTTTTCAAGTTTAGAAAACTAAATTTTTCAGTTATTAATGAACTGTTAAATAAGTGACATTATAAGGGAATGCTATAGTCTTTTTAAAATATAAATTCAACATAAAGCTAATGCAATTACTTGTTGAACATATATTTTTTTATACAATTTTCCCTACTACTATTATTATCAGTGTCTATCTAAATCACTGGTAATTACTTCTGGAGTTATGCCTTTCATATATATCTTTATTTTCTCTAGGCTACTTGTATAATTTCTGATATTTTTTTACATTGTAATCCATCTGCTTGGTCCCTTTATTTGCTACATCACTTGCTAATGCAGACATCCTACATTTGTTAATGCAATGTTACATGTATTCTGTATTATTCTAAATTATTTTGAGTACATTTATCTTGGTAGTGGTAGGGTCTATTTTTTCTTAAGTCCCCTCGTAGTTATACCTTCGCTTACTTTATCATACAAGAAACAGAAACCCCACCACTAAATAATTTACTTCTATCAATCCGATCCGATTTAATTCCATTTTAAAATAAACCAGCAAACGACAAGGTACTCAAAAATAAATCTTCGTGGTCAGAAACTTCCAACAGTCTGGCCACCTTCGTTTTGGTTAAAGAAAATTCACGTTGACCTTGGTTACGGTTAAAGGAAATCTATGTTGACCTTTATTTTGGTTAAAGAAAATTAACGTTGACCTTTATTTTGGTTAAAGAAAATTCACGTTGACCTTCGTTTTGGTTAAAGAAAATTCACGTTGACCTTGGTTTTGGTATAAGAAAATCTACCTTGGTTTTGTTTTGAAAATCCACATGATTTTTGGATTCAAGAAAATCCATATGGTTTTGGTTTAGAGGTATGGTTTTTGCAAATAGTTTATAGTTCGAGTTGAGAAGAGAGCAACAGCAGGATTTCTCATAGAGTTAAGCTAAGTTTCTTTCTTTCTTTGAATTTTGTATGTAGATGCTTAATTCTCTGTTACTAGAACCTCAATTTTGATTTGTTATTTTAATAACATATAAATTAATAAAGATATGTGTTGAAGAATTATTTTATTAATAATTCCTGATTTCTTAAATTTAATTAGTTTATGCCGAACAACACCCCTGAGGGATTTCAATGTGCAATGGATGAGCTAGTCGTCACAAGTTACATTGTGACAAATACAGATATCCAGCATTTACTGTTACATGGATTATCCAAAAGGAAAATGAATTTCCTATAGTCAGTTTCATCCATAAATCACAAAATTTTAAAAGTCCTTTATAAAAGGTATACTTATTTAAAACAACCTTTTATATGTTGTTAAATTAGTTTGATATTAATTGTTGCTGATCATTTTATATAATGTTTAAGTTTACATGGATTAGCGAATTATTCTCAATGATATGCTGGACCTTGAATGTTTGTAGTGTTAGTATCTACTCCATTTTTTTTTAAAGCATTCACTCAAGATTTAAGTTAATTGAATTTCCTAGGCTTAATTTGCCAAATATTTCCAACTCATTGTGACAAATACAGACAAACAAGCCAGCAATTGAATTCAACCCTGTGAGGCATGATACTGTTTTACTGATAGCATACTGATGGGCTATAGTGGCTACAAATTGGCAAAATGCTTGCCACATGGGAGTCCTGGGTACAAGTACTCCCACAGGAAACACTTCTCGTAGTTAGGCTATAGTGAGATGGGCACTATAATCCTGCTATCATTTTAGGGATGAATACAGACATCCAACATATTACGTGGATTAGTGTCCTATTGTCAATGATTTTCAGGAGCTCATATCTTTGTAATGTCTACTTCATTTTATAGAGCTCTCACTCAATATAAAAGTAAATTCAATTTCCTATGCTTAATTTGCCAAATACATACTTCCAACTCAGTCTTATTTTTATTTAAATTTACTCTTTTGTCTGATGATCTTAGATGAGTACAGGCTGTCAATAATTTGCCAATCTTTTTCAAAATTGAACATGTATGTGTAGTAGTACTTATATCTTTTTCTACCATATCTAAAATTAATATGTCACACAACATAATCTTCACTAACCTATATTAACATAATTGAATTGGAGTTCCTAGTATATTACTTAGTTTACTAAACATTGCTATCCTAGTTCTGGTAGTTCTGAATGTGTTCTTTTAATCAAAAGCAGTCTGCTTCATCTTCACTTTGACCTTCATTTAACTATCAAATCACAATAAAATTGTATTATTGTTTTTTCAATGCTTGTGAATGTCTTACAAACTGAATAAATACTTTATATTTTCAGTTACCCATTTTTAAATATGGTCATCTGTTTCTAGAAATTTGAAATCTGATTTTAAACAAATAAATAAACATGTCCATATATGTAGATCAGATTGGAATTAATTACTTGGAATGTATATGCCTAGTAAATGAATCATTGGTTCTTGTAATGAATGGTAGTGAATAGAAATATGTTTGTTTATGAATCATTTATATTGTATGTAAAAAATTATAATTCACCAATAAAAGGTTATTATGATGTAATATATACGTGAATTGCTAGTTCTATGACCTAAGTCGCTATGGTGCTATGATTAAGAATCAAAATTCAACTGAATATAAAAAATTGACTTCCTTGGAGTCTCTGTAAAACCTTGTATACCAAATGTTGTGTATCAAAACTTTCCAAAAATCAATATTAAATTACACTTTTAATGTAAAGTGTGATTGTGGTGTACTAACTGCAACCTTTTTTAACTCTTGTTTATAATTTAATTTTGAGAAAACCCTTTTCAAAACACTCACTGCACCAACTAAAATTTGGATAAATGTTCTGATTGAATGGACGGTGCAATAAGAACTCAATAAATTCACCTCACCAATATAGCTGACAAACGACATATGGATCGTGCCAATTATCAAATGTGAAATTTAAATATGCGTCAGGCTTTCTGATTTTTCCTGTACAATTTTCACTCCTTAAGAAACCCTTAACAAAGTATTAGAAAATGTACAAAAATTAAAGAACTGAAGCATTCCTGGAATTTAGTTTTTTTACTAGTCTTCAGTATGTCATGGAAACCTTGTGATTTTTAGTTTTTTACACAGTTTACAGTGTCAGAGACTGTATCGAGACTGACAGAGTTGTGTCAACCACTGTTGCATAAGATTTGATGAATGACACTGCTAGTCAAAAAGAAACTAGTCGCTGCTGGCTTAAAAAGTTGCTGTTTTCTTCTGTGTGACATACAATCTGTTTAGAACTTACATAAAATTGTTTGCTCATTGCCTGATCTTTTGGAGCACATTAATGGCACACAACACCTTCATAATTGTCGCTTATTAATAATAAAATAGTAATTACTTTAAGATGCCACAAGAAAAGCTATAGAACCTTCATAATTGAAAAAAAAAAAAAATCCAAAGGGATGCTTGGATGGGAGCTTCTGTTGTGAAGACTGTTGTTTTGTCTCAGGATTATAACCGCAAAACCCTTTAAAAAACCTACTACACCTCGTTTGAGGAGAAGTATGAAATAAACTCAAGGAAAAAGATGATTATAAAGCTATTACATTGTTTTTTCTTCTGTCTTTGTTTAGCAAATTTTTGCGGCGTAATTTGGAATATGTGTATCTTAGAACTTAATTTAATCATTTAATGCTATTGTTTCTGGTTGCTTTCTTTCTGCAACTATAGTGTTCAACAATTTTATGGAACATATCTATTATATCTACTAACATTTAAATGTTAGTAACAGCTTACCTTAAATAGCGTTTTTTTACAACTGTGTTCTGTAAATTTTTTCCTGATACTCGTTTATTTCCATCTGAAGGGCAGCTTTGTTACTCTTAACGACATCTGCTGCTTTGCTGGTCCATACACCATTAGGCTTGAGTGAAAAACTGTTGCTTAACAGTTGCACATTTTCAATTTTATGGAAATATACAAATCGTTTTTTAATTTACAAATCAAATTCATTAATAAAACGTGAGAACTGGATAACATCAATATCTTTATTACTATCACAAACGGATTTAAGGAGAGGAAAATACAAAAGTTTTACCTTAATATCATCAGAAAAAAGTTCAATCATTTTAGAAAAACTTTTAATATCCAACA